ACCCCCCCGTGTTGAGCCTCCCAATATCAGGCGCATGGAGCGGGAATTCTGCGGTGATCATGCTCACCTGGCTCACCTTCATCAGAATCGCGAATATAACGGTACAACGATGTGGAGCCACAGCAAGCTGCAGACCTGGTTAACGTGTGCTAGGACGATTTAAAGGAATATGTGAAATGTATTGACAGACTCGCAACTGCAGCATGCCCTTCCGGCTTCACTCTACCTGCTGTGTCGCGAGAAACTGGAACACTGGCTGGCTACGTCTTTGCAAGATTCGATTGCGATACCTTAAACAAAAACCAATGCAAAGTAGATAGAGGCCCTGTCTACCTTGCACTGGTTTTTGTTTAAGGTATCGCAGTCCGGGGACTCGGAGGTCTGCTGCTTCAGGCCGCGGAGGAGCGTTCCCCGCAAGCTTGGGTCTTCCTTCTGCAAGGTGAAGTTGACTGTCCTGGACAGCAACGAGCCGGCAAAAAAGTGCTATGCCATAACACTTTTTTGCTGGCTCGTTGCTGTCCAGGACAGTGCTGCTATGCCAGAGCCGGCTTCAACGTGTGCTCCTCACGACCTTCACAGTTTCCGCCCTGTTTGTGCGGAGCCGGCCCATGCGGCCACCGGAAGGTGCATTGGTTGGAAATGCAGAAGTGTACGAATCGAGCTAACGATTGAAAGTGTCACCCTGCCGAAGGACGGCGTGGACTTAGGGTGTAGAGTTTCGGTTCAGAAAGTAGGACCCCAGGTTCAGGGTTGAGGCCCAAGCGGCTGATGCCTTTGCCGATGTAGCATGCAGCTCAGACGAATGCATGGCGCTGCCAGTGGGGCCTAGATCTGTTTCACCGTTGAAGCGCGGCTCATCACTGCGCAAGCCCAGCTAAAGGTTGCAGGAAGGCGTCAAACAGGTTTTTTGAGGAAATCCTGGGCAACACCCCAGAGTTGGTTGCACACAAGTCTTGGAAGTGTAAACTGCCGGTCGCAGGCATAGGGTCATTCACTTCAGCCTAATACACCAAAGCATAGACAGCAACAAGCTTTTCCGATGGCCGGCGAGGACGGGAGCAGACGTGTGGAACATCCTGAGCCCTAGGACTTGACTTCGCTAGGCAGATGATGGCGAAGCATTGGCTGGCTTGGTCGCCGAGAACGAGGCACGACATGGTCGTTTCCAACACAGTAAGGCGAAACAACAAGATGTGGTGGAGGGCGCGTGTTTCGCAGGACCTCGAGTTCAAAGAGGACGGCAGCGGGAAGGACCGCTTTGCAAAGGGTTGCTGGTCGGCTTTCTAGCTCGCCTGTGGATGACCAGGTTGTCGTCAAGTCAACTGGTCATGAGATGCCTCCTCGACTTGAGGCTACCGGGAGGCATAAACGGCAGAAGGGAGTTTTCTGGGTTTCCTGTCGCACCGTGCTGAGGTTGTCAAGACCTACTTGAGCGGCGCGAAGTATCGGAAGGCATGCTGCCATGCTGGACGACCCTAGTGGGTAGTAACGGGTAGTACCTCCAGTACCCTTGCAAACCCCTGCTTGGGAACCCTTACAACAAGCACTAAGTGCGGATGCGAGCCTCTTGGTGCCTCTACTTTTGATGAGACTGGGTTCCGTCTTTAAGAAACAAGTGGTTGGAGCATCTAGAAGGACGTCTCAACCTCTGGTTTCGTATGGCTTTTGGCCTGATAGCTTCGGGCGGGGCGGGCGATTAAGTTTCGCATATTCATCTTATGCAGCTTCAGGCCGAATGCATGTTGCCATATTCCTTTGGGCCATGACCCTCCTCAGCTGGTCTTCTTCGCAAGATGCTCGGGCTCAGCATTGACCCGGCATGCACCAAGTTGCCAAGACCTGCGTTTCGTTACAATGACGGATGAAACCAAGCTAGATGGTCTGTTCGAGATGGTGATTATTCTAAAGCCAAGAAAGTCTTGGACGGTGCCGATATGTCCTGGAGGCATACCGCTTTTCAGCAATTTTTGTGTGATGTTTTGTCGCGACACGGCACGTCGCCGCAGCGTATCGGAATGGGTATGAACTTGGAAGAAGTGGACGTGCATGGGCAGATACCTCCGTTCTGGGCCGCTACGAAGGGCAAGGTTGCCGAGAATGAGTTCCGGTTGTCTGGCCTCGAAGTGAATTTTCGAAATCACAACAACAAACAGACAGCCCTGGTCCTGGCCATCGACAAAAGAGCCGCATGCAGTTGGCCGATTACCTCATCGAGCAGACAGCCTCAATTCAGGTGGGTTTAGGGTGTAGGGTTTAGGGTTCAGGGTTTAGGGTTTAGGGTATCAAATCAGGTACGGCCAGGAGGCAAGACGCCACCGAGTTCGTGTGCACGGAGCCGTTTCGAGAAGTAGGAGTGAAATCAGGACGACACTGAGCCGCATGTTGAAAGTTGGGAACACAACGTGCTCGTGGAAAGGCGCGAGTATGCCAAAACGTTATGGGCATGAGTCTTGAATTGTTTTTAGAGCTGTGGGACACTGAGAAACCTGCGACATGCGAGTCGCTATCCGAATTTCTAGGAATCCCCAACGATATTGTTTCTGCCGGGAGGCCCGTGAGTGGTATGGCTACGACTTCAGCAAGTTTGAGCCTTACATCATTCCGCGCGGGCCTCAGTTTTTTCCTTCTTAGCTTCCGGCAGGGTTCCAAACGAGGGCCTAGGGTTTTGCGCTTCTTTCCGTGCTAGGGTTGGGGATGTTGGAGTGATAGAGTTCAGGGTGTGCAGCACCCACCTGTCGGCAGCCAGTCTAATGCTCGCTTTGCATGCCGCGAACTTCACGCAGACGCAGCCATGCTGAACCCATATGAACCCATCCAACTTCGAAATGCTTCAGGCACGAGAAGCAGAAAAAGTTTCTGTTCTGCACGGTGCGCTGCTTGGCCTCTCCAGGATCAGCAGCAGCAGATCTGGTAATCTAATTCCTGCATGCTTGAAGGATCACGACGAGTAGCTACCGTCTCTAAGTGCGCATGGATATTCATTCCACCCCTAAATATACGAGCAGCATAGTCAGAAATACGGCATTACTGCGCTTGCATGCGGACTTACGAGCCCGGAATCTTAAAACCCAACGCCCCAAATCCTTATTTCTAAACCCTCAAGCCCTACACCTACACCGACACCTCTGAACCTTTGAAGCCCTTCGACCCCTAAACCGCACACCCCTATGCCGCGTCTCCCAGAGGTGACCGGAACAACTTTGCCCATGCAGCCCAAGAAGGCTGGCCTTGTGATGGAGAAGTCAACAGGAAGTATGCATTTCATTGTCATCTCAGGTGCCTTTTTGGAGGCTTCAGGGGTTTAGGGGTTAAGTAATCTTTAGTAGGGGAGGGGTTCAGTTCAGGGGTTGGGTGTTTGTCGTCTTTGCGATGGGGGGCTTCGCTGTCGGCTTCTAGTGATCTAATGACCCCCGGGATGAGGGGCAAAAACTCCCGCACACGCTCAAGCCCCAAAATACTAAGCATTGCAAAGCCATGTCCGGTTGTGGGAGCGGCTGCAACGTTGCAAAAATCCTGGGGGGGGGGGGGGCTTCTTTCAGGCACTTGCGCTGCAGCAGCGTATGAGAAAAAGTCGCCAATAGGGGTAGGGGCGGCCACGATGGAGAATATTCTCTCAGTCTGGCTACACAAGGTAACTCCCCGAGCGTTGTCGATCTGAACGAGAGACCTTTGAAACCCTTCCAAACCCCACTGAGATCAGGTAGAACGGCACGTAGAGAGCAAGCGGTACAAGGCCACATCGCGTGGGACGAGGGTTTAACACACTGTGTTGCGAGAAGGCGAGAAGGCCCCCATTTGCTTGCTGTTCTAAGACAAGACCGAGGCTTTACCGGATTAAGGTTCCATTCGAGTGTGAGTACCGTCCATACCAGCGTGAGATTAGTTTTGGGTACTGGTCTCGTGGCGTAGAGTTTGCAGCACATCGATGTTGGTGCTGATTCAGGATTCAGTTGCCGATGCTGCTGGTGATCTTCATGATGTTGGTAGGGGTGCTGCTTCAAGTTATTCAGTCACGGTAACAGTGACCGCCCGTTCGCAGTGGTGATGGCGTTGAATTGAAGTTGTTGACGATGGTTTGATGATGATGATGATGATCATCATCATCATCATGACCCTGTTCATGACCATGATGATCGTGATGATGATTATGCGGCAGTGGTCGGGACAGTAATCAGAGTGCTGACTTCAGTGATGAGAACGACGGTGATCCTGGAGGTGATGAGGACTGGATGGTGCTGCTAATGCTTGTAAGCCGCAACTCCCAAACATAAGCTCCCAAGGCCGAGAACCCCTAACTCACAAAGCCCCACCCCGGCCACCCCACCCCCTGCCCCACATCCCAAACTCAAACTCCCAGACCCTACTTGCATCCATTTGTCCCAAAACCCCAAACAAGCGAAGTCTCGACTTCATGGCCCTTTGATGCCAGGAGCTCCTCCGAGTCAAGGAGGAGCAGGCGAAGAAGAAAGCCGAGAAGTCGGAGTTGAAGAGGAAGCTCAGGCACCGACACCTTTGAAAGGATCGAAGACGACCTTGATTGAGCTGCCCCACCAGATGAATTTCCGACCGTTATGCGGATTATCAGAAGCTCTTCTCAAGAGTTTGATTATTGTTGGGGCGCTCCGCGGCCTCTAAAGTGCTTTGGGCACGGGTGACTATGAGAACTAGGGGTGTTGAGCCAGCTATAGGTTCGAGTCAAGGCTTAGGCTTCAGGGCTGGAGGGTTCATGGTTTTGGGCTGTCGGGCTTCTGTGGTGCACGGTTCATGTTGTATTGCATGCGGGCATATATCCTAGATCAGTTCCTAGATCTTCGACTAGGATCACCCTCTCGGCCTTCTGTCTCTCAACCCGCAGATCCAACGTCAATCAGTTTCCGTGCTGACCAGACCATGACCAAACTTGCAGACCTGGCATCCAAAACATTAACACAACGTGGCTGTTAATGCAGAAGTAAGAACAGTCACAGCCATCGTCCGAACAACAACAACAACAACAGCAACAGCAACAGCAACAGCAACAGCAACAGCAAGAGCAAGAGCAAGAGCAAGAGCAAGAGCAGGAACAAGAACAAGAACAAGAACAACAACAGCAATAGCAAAAACAAGAACAATAATAGCAACACCAGTAACAACAAGAACAATAACAATACCAACACGACCAACAAGGCCATGAATCATAATAAGAACAACAACAACCACACAACGACAACACCACCACCGCCGCCGCCACCACCACCACCACCAACAACAACAACAACACCAACAGCAACAGCAACAGCAACAGCAACAGCAACAGCAACATCAACAGCAGCAACAACAACAGCAACATCAACATCAACTGCAACAACAACTGCAACAACAACGACAGCAACGACCACAACAACAACAGCAACAACAACAACAACTACAACTACTACTACTACTACTACAACTACTACAACTACAACTGCACAAGAACAAGGGCAAGAACAGCACCGACACCAGCACCGACACCACCACTAACACCAACATCAGCATCAACACCAGCACCAGCACCACACACCTAAGACCAACACCAGGATCACCACTACCATCACCACCACCAACAACAACAACCGCCCAACCAACAAGCAAACAAAAGAACAATCAAGCAAACAAAGAAACAAGCTTAGTAACTAACCCCAGCCAAGCAACCAACCAGCCAATCAACCAGCCAACCGACCTACCGACCGATCAACCAACCAACCAATTAACCGACCGACCAACCGATCAACCGACGGACCGACCGACCAACCAACCAAGCAACCCAAGCAAAAACCAAACAAACAAGCGAACAAACAATCCAAATCAAACCAAGCCAAACAAAGTAAACCAACCAAAACACAAGCAAACAAACAAACAAACAAGCGAACAAACACAGAAACGCAAACAACACACAACAACACACACGCACACACAGACACAGACACACAGACACACAGACACAGACACACACACACACAAAGACACAAACAAACAAACAAACACACAAATTAGTAAACAAACGCACAAACAGACTTAAACAAATAAGCAAACAAAGACAGAACAAAACAAACAACGACACACACACACACTCTCCCAGAAGCAAGCACACACACATAAACAAACAAACAAACAGACAGACAGACAGACGAACAAACAAACACACAAACAAACAAACAAACACACACTCACAAGCGCACAAACAAACAAACAAGCAAACACACAACAAACACACAAAAACACAAACAAACAAAAAGCAGAAACAAAGAAGCAAAGACACACACCAAGAAGCAAACAAACAAACAAGCAAACAAACGAACACACACTCACACAAACAAAGAAACACATAAACAAGCAAACATACAAACAAACATGCAGGCCAACGAACAAGAAGACAAGGAAACAAGCAAACGCGCAAACCAGCGAACAAGCAAGCGCACAAACAGACAAGCACACACTCACACAAGAAAGCAAGCAAGCAAGCAAACCAACAAACAAACAAGTAACAACAACAACAGCAGCAGCAGCA